TAGAGAATAGGACAGACAGCAGAATACATCAGACACTAGAAAGGCAATATGTCAATCAATGGAAGGGAAACTGATGTGATACAGCAATTTGTATACGGGGTAAAAGCGGGAGTTCATAATCCACGTGAATCAACCGTGTAATATGATGTATTAAGAACTATGTAATGTTATGAACGACCAATAAAAAAAAAATTTAAAAAAAATATAGGCTTTTTTTTCCCTTTTTAATGGGACGATTTTGAAGTCTGAAGAATGAGTTAAATCTCTAGATCTTCTACTTATTCCTGTTTTCTAGGTCATATAATTTAATTTCTTAGATTCTCAGTTTGCCCATCTAAAAACTGGACCAGAGTAACAGCACTATATATTTCACAAAGAAGATATAAAGATCAAAGATGGAGTATACTAATGTATTTAAATGCCTTTAAATATTACATAAATATGGAATATTGTAATAGTATCCAACTTTGGGATTATTGGTATATGAGAACAATTAAATCATAATAATATGCAATAATCTTTAAAAACATGATTTTTAAACATAGAGAATAAATAGATTTTTTAAAAGCAAAGTAGAATCCACCCAGTTCTAAAGTATTGTTGGGTGACCTTAGCTGAAATATCTATACTCTCCAAACTCAATTTCCTTAGTTCTATAATAGGAAAAATAATGTGTGCCTCCTAGGGTTCTGTGATAATTTCATGAGGTAATAAAACTGATTAACTGTGTGTGCAACAGGACAAGAGTGAGCTGTTTTAGTTTCAGAACTGATGCTGGAACACTCTGAACTTCGTGCATGATCCAGACCCAGGATTCCTTTATCTAATTCTGTACTCACGTGGCACTTTGGTTGTGTGGGGTCTGATCAACCCATTGCCAGTGTCCTTGACCCTCTGGATCTGACAGCCCCACCAAATAAGCAGAGCCTTTATCCATATTCTGAGTGAGGAAATCCTAAAGGAAAAGAAAAAGAAAAGAAATCATAGGCTGTAGATACTCAGCTTGAACTGAGCTGTTTTGTTTTGTTTTGTTTTTTTGCCAAATCATGCTATGTACTGGTGTTAATGTAACAGAATGAAGTCCACTATAATGTGTAAATATAATTCACAAATAAAAATAATTTTTAAAAAATTGTTGGTGATTTATTTCTTCTTTATTATTTAATTGTAAAATCTATCAGATAACATGATAATTTGACACATATACAATGTGCATAATAATCAAATTGGTGTAGTTAATATTTCCATCTTCTTTATATTTTTTAAAGATTTTACTAACAACTAATAATTATACATATTAAAAAGTACAGTGTGGTTTTTCAACTGAACTCTTTATAGTCATACACAAGTGTAAACAAAAGGACATGGTTCAGTAATAACCAGATGGGGACCTCAGAACTGCAGGTCTTTGAGCACAAAAGGATCAAGGACATCATCTGTAAACCTTAATTTTATTAAATATGGAAGCAATTCCTACTGACAATCATAATGAATTTCTATCTCAAATTCAAATTCCCTCTTTTCTTCACTGAGAGAACATTCTTCAAATTTTTGCATAGGAAAATTCTTACAAATTTAATCATTTTCCTTTCATATCATCATGAAATTATTTTGTACCAGAAATTGAACCCAGGAGTGCATAACCACTGAGCCACATTCCCACCCTTTCTTATATTTCAATTAGGGACAGAGTCTTGCTAATTGGTTAGTTCCTTGCTACATTGCAAAGGATTGCTTTGAACTTGAGATCCTCCTGCCTCAGCCTCCCAAGCCTCTGGGATTACAAGCATGCATCACAACAACCAGCATTTCACAGTTCTTAAAATTTCACTCTTGATTGCTGATTATGAATCTCTTGATTTAACTTTGCCTATTCAAGTTAATTCTTCTTTCTGTTAAGCAGTTGATAATTCAGAAAACAGTTATATATTGAAATAACCAACTGCTCTTTTAGGCAGAAACATTTTCATCCTTTCACTAAACCCCCAGGTCTTACATGTTGAATGCCACAATTTCCCTCGGGGTAGGTTAGTTACACTGAAGAAGGTACAAGGTGTGGAATGGGAAGGCTGAGGGAGCCTCTCCTATCTGTCTTATGGAAAGTCTTCTGCCACAGCATCAATATCCCTTCTTAGCAAAGACATGTATCAAAGTGAGACAGGCTCATGACTCCATTGTCTCTTAGAAAGTACCTGCTCTTCCTTGTTGTTTATCACCACCAGGTGAGCCTCCATTCAAGAGCAGTTTTCCTGACTATCCTTCCAAGATTTTGCATCAGTAGAAAAAAAGTAGCAACTGGAACTAAATGACTTCCAATTCTTTGGGCAACAGGTCCAGACTTTTCCTTTATAGGCAAGAAGGGCAAATCAGTGCAATATATAAAAATTTATTTTTAAAGTATATTATTAAATTTAAAGACCTAGGGAAACAGCATGAAAGCTGCAGCTCCCATATTCACCCAGATATAACAAGGAGACCCCTTTCCTCAGTTGCCAAGGAGCCAAGTTGCCTCAAGTGGGCAATAATGTGTCAGGGCTCCTTTCACCTGCTGGACTGGTAACACACACACACAAAAAAAAAAAAACAGACAAAATATAAGGTTTAAGTAAAACCTAGACCCCAAAACCTCAAAATGGAAATATCCAAGTTTCAACACAAAAAAAAAATCTTACCAAGGACCAGTAAGGTCTAAATTTTAGTTAAAAAAAATCAATAGTGGCAAAAAAAAAAGGCTGGAATGTGGCTCAGGGGTGTGAAAGCCCAAGGTTCAATCTCAGGTACAAACACAAACCATTATCTCCAAAAAAGAAACAAAGAAGTGCTGACTAATAATGGCAATGGGGTGGGGGAGGTAATGGAGGAACTTTAGAAAGAGCAAAAGGGAGGGAGAAGAAGGAAGGGGGCAATGGGGTAGGAATAATGGTGGAATGAGTTAGACAACATTACCCTAAGTGCATGTATGAAGAAATGAATTTGTGTGAACATACTTTGTGTGTAATCAGTGACTTGAAAAATTGTGCTCTATATGTGTAATATAACATTAATTGCATTCTGCCATCATGTATAACAAATTAGGATGAATAAATAATTTAATTTAAAAAAGATGTAAAAAATGGAAATTTTATCACTGAAAAATATAACAACCTTTTAAAAGCTTAGCAGACTTCCTTTGGTCTCCATCTGCCACTCCTTCATGAGTCTTCAGCAGTAAAGTTACCCAGATCAAATTTTGGACTTATAAAGCCCCCACATTTCCATGAGCCAAGTTCTTAAAATAAATATCCATATTCATATTGCTTCTGTTCCTCTAGAGAGCGCTAACATAATACACCACCTTAATAAATGGGAGCATGACTCCTCCATCCTAAAACATTAGCTGCATGTAGCAACCTCATTATGAACTGTACAGTGTGGGAATAGGAGAGGGAAAAGTAGCTTCACAATGAGAAACCTGACAAACACCACCTCAGATGATCGAGTTCAGCACAATACTCAACATTCACTTTGATAATATATACCCTGGAACTAATGTGATGAATAGCATTTTATATCTGTGACCTTCTTCCAAAAAACAAATAACCCCCTATAGTCATTAGAAAAATTTCAAACTTTAGTACAGAGACAACCAATAATATAGAGAATGGTATTCCCCTAAGTTGTCAGAGCCATCTAACAAGAAAGATCTGAAAACAAATATTATAGTAAAGAGGAATCTAAAGAGATATGACAAATAAATGGAATATGGGGGACTGCATGGGATTCTAGTATAGAAAAAAGAACAAGAGTTTAAAATTGGGAAAATCAAGAATGTTGGGCTAAGGAAGTGGCTCGGTGATAGAGACGTGCCTAAAATGTATAAAACCCTGAATTCAATTCCTAGTACCAAAGGGAAAAAATCACAAATATTGGTTCATTTGTTGTAACAAATGTCCTTACATAGGAATAGGATAATAATAATGGGCACTGTGTGGGCAAGGTAGGGTTACAATAGAATCTTTTATTATTATCTGCTCAACTTTTCTGTCAATTTAAAAATGTCTTTAAAATACTCTATTTAAATGTAAAAAATTCACATTCACCATAATATATTCATCTTCATTTTTATCGAATTGTTTGACTGACATGAGAAAAACACTAGCCTTGCAAAAACCTCAGAAAAAATAACAGTCTGAAGAAATACAATAACAATATATCCTTTTGCCAAATTGAGCTTCACATGGACAACATTCAATATCCATATTAGAATGTTAGATTCTGGGCTGGGTCTGTAGCTCAGTGGTACAGCACCTGCCTCACACATGTGAGGCACTGGGTTCTATCCTCAGCACCACACAGAAATAAATAAATAAAGATATTGTGTTTGTCTATTAAAAAAAAGATTTTAAAAAAGAATGTTAGATTCTATAAAATTGTGCACTTGTAGATTAGAATGACCATGATGCTCCACTTCTTAGTGTGTTCTACCTGGAATTCATAAATACTGATTTGGGAACCTTACATACTACAGTCAGCAACTGAATTCTAGGCACATGAAGTTTTACCTTCTATGGATGAATTCGTTCTTACACACTCCGAATGTGTGTAAATCAATTTTTTTATTAATATTTTATTATTTTTGTCTTCAAACAGCTGAGAATTTTTTTGAAAGAAAGCTGGAAAATAGAACATAAACCAATCATTTTTCTGGTAACATTAGTTCGTTGCTCTTTACATTACTTTCTTGCACTCTATAGACAAAATCTACAAATGTGCAATTACCCAGTTGGACAGAGCCTGACAGAAAAAGTTTCCCCATGACCCCTCAGTCAATGGAATCCTAATCCTAATGCTTTGTAAATATTAGGTATCTCCAGGAATAACTAAAAGATGAGGAGTTGAAAGAAGACATGAAAGTACCATCAAATTGGGATCTGAAGAATGGTATCCATAGTCTCCTTTTAGAGTTAACCCAAGATGCAAACAAAGGCTAAATTTTGTGGGATGGGAGTGGAAATATTTAAGGAAGTACACAACCTGGGACTTTGGGGAAAGGAATAATTTGCTAATTTTAACCAATTCTGGGTGATTTTAAAGATTGATCAAGAAGACATTGTTCTTCATCTCTTTTGTGTGTCTCTCCCAATTTAGAACTAACACTCTCACCTCTAGAAATTCAATTTTCTGGGCTGCAGTGGTATCTCAGTATCACATCACTTACTTAGAATATGCAAGGCCCTGGGTTAATAAACACTACTGCAAGAAATTAAATTTCCTCTTTCCCTTTAACCTCCTATTTGTGCCTTGACCCACTTCATTCTGGCTATGACATCCATTGTTTCATTAAACCATGCATGAAATGGATCATCAATAATTTACTAGAACGATTTATTAGTCATTTTCTAATGACCTCTTGCAATCATTTACCCAGGTCTTCCCCCTTAGCTCTTGGTACAGTGCTCTCTCCTGTTCCTGCCTCACCTTCCTTATTGCTATTTATTATCATCTTCCATCAGCTCTCTTCCTCCATTCACCATGTTAAAAAAGTAGTATTTCCAAGAGTTCTATCCTAATCCCTATTTCTAGTTTAAAGTTCTCTTCTAGAGTGATATCATATATCCCCATGCTGGAACTTGTTATCATTATGTAAATGACTTCCAAACTTCTAGACCTCTCTCCTGAAATCCAGACAAATATGCCTCCCACTGGAAATGTACATTGTGAGTTAACATTGTGCCCCAAATGTAAATAATCATCTTTCAAAACAAACCCGCTATTCATCCTATACTGCCTCACTTTTGAACAACTTCTTCACAGCTGAATTTACAAGGTCAGGATATTATATTCACACTTAACATCTCTGGGGTTTTAATCCCCAATATTCATCAAGCCTTGGCTGCCTTGATTGTATCTTCTTTACCCTTCAAAGCTGCCTGTCCTCTCTTTCTTCACTAACAGTATCCTTAAATGAGACTCCCAATGTTTTCCAATGGGATGATGAATTAGCATCTCTTTGATGCATTATAATTATAATTATAATTATAATAGGATGCACTGTTACATAGTCATACACACACATAACATTATTTGGTCATTTTCATTCCCCAGTACCTCCCCATTCCCTTCCCTCTTCTGTCACCCTTGTACCCTGCCTCTACTCTACTACTTTTGCCTCAATTTTCATGAGACCTGACCCCTTTTTCTCTTTTTGCTCCCAAATTAT